CAGAGCGACAATTGATCAAAAGGTGGGGTCTGCTTTTTTCATCGCATGACAATTTAAGTCCTTAAAAAAAATAATTCACATTCTATTAATCTCACCTAATTTTAAAAGTTTTCTATCCCTGACACATGCCATTTCAACACGTGCTTCTCTTCAGCATGTTGGACTATGTCTTCCAGTGTACTTACAAATCCAGTCAATTTCAATATAATGGAACACAATAGTAAAGACAGAGAGAAAGGATGCTCAGGTAATAGTTGGTATAATGTGGAGCTCTAGTGGCAGCAAAGAAGAAAAGCAGCATGTGTAATAAGTGCAGCTGTATGAAGAGGCTGTGTCTAAGCTTGAAAGTAGATCAGGAATTATTATGAAGCAACTATAGTGTTTATTTACAGTAACAAATATCATGGAGAGCATGATATTTGAGTTTCAGCTTCATAGAATGCATCTGCATGTTGGATCATACCACTTAAGAAAGTAGTAAACCATGCCTACTAAAAGCTCAAAATTTTGCTACACACACGTATTAGCCAAAGCCTGACAAAATGTTTGTGTATCTCCCCTGAAGAAGAAAAGTTGTTGTTGTGTATTACCTCTGCTCTTACAAATTTAATGTGCGTCTTAAGGTCAAACAGAATCATAGGAGCCAAATCCTAGGGGCCGAGGTCCCTTGCCCCTCCCCAAATAAAATATTAAGGAGGTTGCCCCCTGCAAAGTTGATGGGCATTGCCATCCAAATGGTGTGCATGGGCCATGTCTTGTGATCAATTATGTGGGGTGGGGCTTTGCTGCCCTCTCCATATTTTATACAAGTTGGCACCCCTGCAGAAAATACTTCTTCAGACATGGCTATTTAAAGCAACAGCCAGCCATGCTTTTTATTATATACAAACCACTCAACAATGCTGGAGTAATATGATCCAATGTTTGTTTCGGACTACTCTGTTTGCAGAGGAGTTTCACATTTTGAACATTTCCTGGGTTAATAAATGGTATCGCCTCATTTGCACCATGCTTTTTGTTCTAGAGAGCCAAAATGGTTACCAAAGCCTTAGCAGCTCTTTAGTTTAATGCCAGTTTAGCCGTCAATGCTGTTGAAGAAGACGATAAAGAGCTCTGTACTACTAATCATCACAGTGAAAAGCAAGCCTGTTCAGATATTTCTTTTTAGATATAATCCAAGATATTTGAAGTGCAGTTAAAAAAAAATGCACATATCTGTTGATAATACATTCAGTGGCAAACATGGATTTGTCTCTGAGTAATGAACCTTAGCTCCAAGGTTCAGTCATCCTCTAAAGCCCTTTTCATGCATAACTCAATTGCAGAAGAGTACAACCACATTTCCAGCCCCACCCGCAGCATCAGCCTTCCTGCCTGGCCCTGACTCCAGACTCCTTACATTAGCATGGTCATCTGCAGTGAAAAAGCCTGCATGTGCACAGACTTTCCTACCATGAAGACACTTCTGCGATCAAGTGTCCCAGTTGCATGAAACTTCTGCATGAGCAGGTACTGGTGCATTCATCACAGAAGGCCACACTACTGTATGGTCAGCTGGGGGGAGGGGTTACTAGGCAGAATGCCCAATGCTTCCCCCAGGAATGTGAACTGCTCCCCAGTAATCATTTGATGCCTACTTCACATGAGTATATATGTGAAAGGGAGGGTCTTATGTTTAAGTGTATCTAATGTACTAATTACCAGGCTAAGATACTTTGTGCCTTATAATGGCAAACCAGCAACTTTTCAAAACCGAGAGTTAAATGGCTTACTCATTGTTATCCCACATTAATATTTAAATTAATAGCATTTTGCTTAAGGCGTGCACCCTACATAAATACCTACAACAGTCCCTCATCCTGTAACACATTCCAGTTTCAAGATGCCCAACATAAAACAGCAAAACTTCATATATAACTTATAAAAAAAACATTAAGGTAAGTTACCTAAGCATCACTAGCCTTTTCAAAAAAATAGACTGCAAGGATAATAACATTTCACACATTATTGACCCCGTTTTCATAGAATCCACCACTTAAAGGTTTGCTTGCAAAGAATGTCCAGTGAAGTTAATGGATTTCAGTAGTGAACTCATATCCCTTATAATAATATACAACAGGAGACATGCAGTCACCTGGTAAAATATCCCTTTACAATGATGAAGGAAACAGTAAGGAAACAGTAACCCAAAAGTTTATGTATTATTTAATGCAAACTGAAACCAAACACTAAAATTATTTTTGGATCTGTTTTTTGAGCTGTCTGATGTACTTAACATACTTGCTCCTTTCAGAAGAGCCAAACAGCTGCACAGAACTGCTCACAGATGCGATCCTACACTACAGAATGTCAGAATGTGTGCTGCTGCTCGTTAAACACAAACATCTCTGTAAAGCTTGTACTGCTACACGAATACATTCAATCACATTTCTAACACTTCACTCTTAAATACATTTATTCAAATTGAATCCCACTGATCTGAATGCATCATACTTAAAAAATAAGTGGATTGACAGTTTGAGCCTATGCATATTAACTTAGAAGTAAGTTCCACTGAATTAAATGGGATTTAAATCTTAGCACATGTGAACAGGATTGCAGCCTTATAACCTTATCAGATGCATTTTGTTCATTAGTCCATACCACTGCTTCCAGCGGGATTTACTACCAAGCAACTGTGCCTGGGATTGCAGGCTCATGGTGCAATCCTGTACAGTTCTGCTCAGAAGGAAGTCCATTGAGCATATAAGCCAACTTCTTCAACCCCTCCCCAATAAAATATTTAGGGAGGCTTCCCCCCCACAGAATTTGTGGGCATTGCCATTCAAATGATGGGTGGGTGCACTGCATTTTGTGATCATGCAGTGGGGTTTACCTGCCCCCCTTTTTAATTCAAGTTGACTCCCCTGCCACTGAGTTCAAAGGGACTTCCCCGCAGGCCAATGGCTGTAGACATGATTTAATAGAGGATAAGTCCAAATGAATACAATGCAATTAATTTTTTTGGCAAGCACACTTAAGATCACACAGCACAGATTAAAAGTACTTAAGAGGCAAAATATTAACACACATTGCAATTACAGGTGACTATCAACTTACACAGGGATTGCGTATAGTCAAAACACATTGGCTTCAGTGGCAGGTGGGATTGCCAAAGTCTTTTTTCCCAGATGTCTCCCCCCCCTTTTCACCCGCTCTTTATTTTTTTGTTTTTTCCTGATTACCAAGCATGTAAAGCTAAATGCACACACATTAAATGTGTGTAAATTGTGAATTACCTGTACATGGAAGAAAACTCCACTTATTTCTGTAAAACTGACCTTTACTTAGAAAGTTTAAGGCTGTTCTGCTATATTAATTAACATTTCCCCCCTCTGTTAATCTCAAACTTCAGAAGACAGGAGATATGCTTGTTAAGCCTTTCTCAAACCTTTCTTCAGCACTATCAGCTAATCAAAGAAACCATGTACAAACATTAAACAAAAACAGTTAGAACTGTCCAGGCTGCTGCCATTTACCTGGTGGGCAATTGCATTCTGGAGGAGCTTCTCTTGCTATTCTGATTCTTGCCATATGCTCATAGGACTTCTGTAGGGAGGAGAGGTAAAGATAGAAAAAGCAGTAAGCAGCATGTTAGTCCCTTGCAGGAGAAACTGATTAAGAGAGCTGGTGTTAAACATTCTGTGGATCTGTGTTGCATTATGATTTACCTCTGTTTAATATCCTACTTAAGTTACAACGGTCTCTAAACTTGGATTTCAGTCAACTCACATCACTTGTTCACCCCGACAATAGCTAATGGATTAAATGGTCACACACACACTGGCTTTCACTTGAATCATCCTTGCGCACGTTTTTTTACCTGTTCATGTGAACACAGTCACCCACCCTTTCCCACATCTGTGGAGCACAAAATAATGCAGAAAACTTGGATTTGAGTGAATATCTGTAAATTAGAGATGAGAGAGTAATGAATATTTTATATATGAAGGTCAAATGCTACCACAATTATAGGAGCAGCCGCTGCCAATTGGATTCTGGCTGCTGCCAAATGGTCACTAGGGACAGGTCCTGGCAGCCCACTGAAACTTGGATCCACATTTTACAGCCACATGTCTGTATGGGTTCTTGTTGAGCCTCAAGTCTGGAACATTTTTATCTTCCAAAAGATCTCAGTAAAAGCATTTTAAGAGCCACAACACTAAAGTAAAAGGGATTTCTTCTACCATTCGGTGGGAACGGCATCACTTTGAAATACACATGGAACAGTCCTGATATAACATTACAGATGTCTCTTTTTTTCCAAGCTATCCCAGGTCTCGTAAGACTGTGCCTTTATCCCATGCCCACAGAGCAACACAGTTCATAGAGCAACGCGGCCATCCTGATTTTTAACATCTTGTTCAAGCAATTGCTGCCCAAGGCTTAATTTAGTTTCAAAGCTCAAGTCTGTCTAGACAGCACCCTGTTTGGGGTTTGTATGGCTTCTTTCCTTTCTAATGTTAAAACAGAAAGGCGCACTGTACATGCTCAGAGGCACCCTCTTCATTATTATTGCTTCTCTGTAAAGTAGTGTGTCTGGCTGTTAACCAGAAGGCTGGTGATTTGAGCCCACCCAGGGACGGCTGTGGACAGCATTCCTACATTTCTAGGGTTTGAGCTGGATGACCTGGAGGGTCCCTTCCAACTCTGCAATTCTATGATTCTATTTCTCTGTGAATAACAATAATGAAGAGTGTGTCTCTGTAGAATTCAAAGCCAACTGAAGGGCTAAGCCACGGGGAGCCCTGTCCGCAAATTACCCCCAAATTACCCCCAGCAAAATTTAGTCCTAAAAGTCATTCAGCCACACAAAAATGTTTGGCTATTTTCACACACTCTTTTCCTAATATTTACCCAGTTTCTCTCTCTTTCTGCTGAAAACATGCCTGCACGAACCCCCTACTTTTCTTCTATTGCCTTTGGCTTCGGTTTTGGGCTACGCATGCAACTGGCCTCCATCAGTAAACAGAGAGGCATTCCTGAGGTGGCTGGCTAACTGTCTCTTCCTGGGAGTCCCACCCTCAGCCTCCCAAGGCCACCCCACCTGAGCCAGAAGCCGCTCCACGTTCTCCTTCATCAGTGCATTGAGCTGATCCAAAGAGTAGCTGGGCAGCAGCTGGTAGGAAGCAGCAGCAGCAGCAGATCCGTCCCCTTGGGCCGTCTCGATGGCCAAGACCCTGGCCTGAAGGTCACTGGTCTTCATCCCCAGATACACGCAGGAAGCGATGGACGCCGCCGACAGCAGCAGGGCAGCCAGCAGCGAGCTGGGGGGCGCCGTCCTGCCGGAGCAGCAGCGCTGTCCTCCCCAGCAGCTGGCCTCCCCGTTGGCACCCTGACCTTTGGCGTCCGGGCTTTTCCCCACCATGCTGGGCTGCTGGCACAGGCGGAGGGCGAAATCCCCTTTCCTCCTCTGGGGAGGAGGGACACTTGGCCCGAAGCTGCCCGCCCCCAGAAACGCGAACACGCGCCCCCCACTCGCGACAAAAATAAACTCCAAGTCTAGACCCCCCTGCCTGCTTGCCAAAGCGCGAGCGGGGCTTTCAAGGCAGAAAGACCATGGCGAGCTTCCTCAGGGCGCCCCTCAAAACTGCCATCCACACGGTCAACACGCCGCCTCCGCGGAATATTCTCCCTCCAGCGAAGCCCGACAACCTTCCCAGGTGCTCCCCTGAGCCGTTTTCCCCACCCAGCGGCGCGGAGCGGAGACTTGTTGCACCGCTTTCCTCAGGCTTCCTCGGTGCGCTTTTACGCAGCGCCCGGGTCACTTCGGCGGCAAGCCAAGTGCGAGGGGACCCCAGGAAGCGGCGAGCAGCGGTTCTCTTCCTTTCCCCGGAGCGTGTTTGCAGCCCCCTGGCTGCGTAGGCGCCTTCGGTAGCGGCTGTCAGGAACAGTAGCGGCGGCGGCGGCGACTCCTGAGCCTCGCGCTCTCTTCTCTGGACTCAGCACAGCGCACGCCGCCTCCAAGCGCCTGCCAGAACCGCGGGAGCCTCATTAGCATAATTTATTCACCTAGACCGAGGGGCGGACGCCCAGCGCGCTCCCAGAGAGAGAGAGGAGGCTGGGGGGTTCGAGGGGCATTTGCATAATATATGCAAAGCCCCCCGGCGCCGCGGCGTCACGTTGCTTTCCCAGGCTCGCGGGATCGGGATCGCTTCTAAACTGCAGTGTGCGAGGAAGGCAAGAGGGACAGGTCAGGTCGGCGAAGGAGCAGGAGTTTCAAGGGCGCGCAAAGAGGTACCTACGTTCAGAATCGGTCCCGGAACTTTAGGCAGCTCAGGTAGAAAGGTTGCTCGGTTTTTATCAATGCTTCACATCAGTGTATCGCAATGTACCACCCTGTGAACGTGGGCGTAGACGGGGGGGGGTAGGGAGCAGTTGCCCCCCTAAATCCTCTAAAAGTATTGAAAAGCATTAAAAAATACTCAATTAACTGAGGTTCTGTTCCGCCCCCCAGCAGAAGCCTGCCCTCCCAAGAAACAAAAGCCTGCCCCCCCCATAATGTGCTCTGTGGGGGGGGGGGTTACCCGTGATCTCCCCAAAATTAGCTCAACAACATTTTGGAGGCTCCATAACAAAAATCCTGGCTACACCCATGACTGTGAATGTTTCAATTGTTGTTACTCTTTTTGTACATCAGTTTGAAACATTTTACAATCCATAAATGTTACAAAATCTTTCTTCCAGGGCCCTTAGGCAACTTATTTGGTGTGTATCCTCACACCCACAACCACTGCCTCTCCTGTGTTGCCCTCCACACAACAATCTTGTAGTGGTGCCCTCTGGCTGCTTAACAGAATGCAAATGACTCCAGGCGCAGCCAGCAGACTCCCACCATACAAAGAAAGCACATTCAACATGCATTTAAAGTGCATGGCTTCCCCCGGGGAATTGTAGGCAGAGTTCCCAGCCTCTTTAACCAACTGCAGTGTCCAGGATTCTTTGAGGGAAGCCATATGTGTTGAATGTGCTTTAAATGTATGGTGTATGGTTCTGCCCGAGCCTGATGCTATGCAATGTACCATGCTAAGAAATAAGGAGAATGGAGTATTAAAGCAGCTAGGTCATGACCAGTGATGCTGTGCTGGTTTGTGCTAAAGATAGGATGATAGTCTACAACTGGTTCATCATTTTAGGATCGTGATAACCAATTGTATTATTTAGGATCACTGTACTGCAGCGATTAAGAGTGTCAAAATAGGATCTGGGAGACTAGGTTTCAAATCCCCCACCAGCCATAATACTTCCTGAGTGACCCTGGCCCAGTCACTGCCTCTAAGCCTAACCCTCACAAATTGTTGGCAGTATAAAATAGGGAAAGAGTGGAGAAGTCATGCATTGAGCTCCTCGAAGGCAAGGTAGAATATAGATGTAATAAATAAATAAACAATAGCTCAAATGCATTGTATATTTCATGCTTGTGTAGAAATTAACTAAATAGGTTTAGCAGCATCTACACAGACATACTTTCCAGGTACACACCTAACTGGGTAGCACTGAACAGACTGGGTGTTCTTATATTTACTAGACATCGGGGCTTTTAGTGTTGCGGCTCTAGTCCTCTGGAATCAGTTACCAACTGAAATTAGACAAAAGCCTACCATCTTAATATTGGGTGGCCAGTAAGGAGATAAGAGCCGTAGGCTGATCTAGTCCAGCATCTTGTTCCTGCACCGGCCAAATGGCTGCCCATGAGAAGCATGCAAGCCAAACCTGGTTGCAACAGCACTATCCCAACCCACGATTCCCAGCAGCTAGTATTCAAAAGTATGCTGCCTGTGATCTTGGGAGGCAGAGAAAAGCATGGTGAAGGCTACTGAAGATATTTTTTTATTTAAGATGTGGATCCCAATCATTTTATGGAACATTAGTTGTAGAATTGTAGAAGTATTATTATTGCTTTTAATTTGCTGAGTTTGTAAACTTTTGTCCTTACCTTATTGTACACTGCCTCAGTAGTTTTTCTCTGAGAAGTGGATTATGATTCTGAAAATGAATGAATGGATAAGAAAATTCATCTGTTATATTCATTCTAAAAGAGATTTGGGAGCCACCAGTGAGTCAGATATGTTGACAATCTTTTGCACCTAATATTTTGCAATTTGTTTTAATATGAGTGTTGAACATTGCAGCTGGATAGATTTACCTTATGGACTGTAGCTGTATACAGCTAGTCTACAGCATCTGAGAAGTCATCATCAGACACCATATTTGTTGTGGGAAGCCTAAAATGAAGGGGGGGGACCCTGACAGGTTAATGTAATATTAATAGGAAATGAGAGGATAAAATACCAGAAAAGCCGAGCTTTCTAACAGACTGTATTATTTATAACATTTTAATGCTAATTTTCAACATCTAAAGCAAAAATAAAAATTAATTAGCATGCAAGAAGAGTGAGGGAACAGTTTTGTAGACCGCAAACAGAATGAAACTGCACAGCTCTTAAACTGCACAGCCTGACTGGGATCCCATCTCTACTTTTGAAAAAGGGAACCATACTGGACAGGATTTGTGCATGCTGCACATGTCCTAGAATGAACATGGCTTAGGTTCCCTAACAACCTTACAAAGGAGTGAACAGTCATAGGCAGGTGCCTCTACCTGCAAGCAACTTGTCTACAAATACATGCATGTATATTCATGGAGTTACATTATAGTGTCATTTATAAATGTTACATTAGCATTTCATTGAACAAGTTGTGCTCACCAGGGTAGTTTTTTAAAGACTAAATTGTGCCTCTTTATCCATAGTCCCTAAATGCAGTTGCACATCCATAAAACCATCCAAAAAGATGTGCCTGAGATACCAGAATAGCTCACGATGATCAGGGTCTGTCCTAGCATTAGGCAGAATGGGGAGGCAGCCTTGGGAGCAGATTTTGGATGTGATGAAATGGCAGCAAACTATTAGTTATTTAATCTGTTATTGATGTAGCTTTACTGCCAGGGCGGGGGAAGAGACACAAGTGGGATTTTATGCCCCAGGTGCCAAAGTAGCTTGTCTGGCCTTGGGAATATGCACCATGACTTGGAGTGTGGACACTGGCTGCTACTCCATCTCTGACAGCAAAACGTCTTGGACCAGCCCTAGCACAACATATTGTTCCTTTCCCAGGCAATGGAGAAAAGAACAGCAGATTCTTTGCAAAACTTACAGGCTGAGGAGTGATATAGATGAAGCATCAGTTAATGTCAATTCCGTGGTCTTTCAGGTGCTAGCTTTTGTGCGCAATAACTGCATCGATTGACACATTTGTTTGCGGCAGATCTAGCCATCTCTTTTCTAAACAGATAGGAAAGCAGGATATTTTCTTTTTAAAATGATGGACAGCAATCCTGAATGGTGGCAGAGATTCTTTGGCAGAGGAACCACCACTTAGTTTTGGAAGCAGTTTGGGAACATGTCAGGGAAACAGGGAAGCTTAAGATCCTGCAGACCTGTGGCATGTCTTGACACAACCCTTGAATTCTCTGTTTTGGCCTCCAATAGTGGCAATGTTTCTGCCCACAGAATGGTGGTGGTGGCAGAGCTTGCCACTGCCACACCAGGTCACCTCTGATGGACCACCTTTTCCACAGAGAGGAAGACCTGCCATCACTGTTCCTCAGATAGAAATCCTGACCCATTAGAGGCCAAAATGGAAAGTTCCAAGGGCATGTCTACAGATCTACATGATCTGCCTGCCTGTCAGGGGACCAAAGGTCTACAGATCTACATGGTCCTCTGACAGACAGACACACCTCAAACTGGCTGCAAAACTTCTGGAACTGGCATAGTTTGTTTTATTTCCATTGAGGTTAAAGGGCAAGGAATTTTGAAAAACAACAATGAAGAAAATCCGAAAAAGGAGCAGCTGCTGCTTTCCCTTACATTCTCACCTGGGCGGCACAAGTTAACAGGAAGTGGCAGTTTCTCCATCACTGAATTTCCTCCTCCTCCTTACCAGGGTTGTTTTGCCTGTAATATTAATGGCAGAAACAACAGGGTCACATGAGTACAGAGTCATTTACTATTTCAGTAGCGTCACAGCCTGCAAATTGCAGCTATTTCAGTTAACCTATTAGATTATCCATCTGGTTTTTAATATATTTTATAGAATTTCCTTTATCCCACCTGATGAAATCACTTTGTAAAACCTTAAGTGCAGATAGACTAAATGAAGATAAAAGTTTGCAATCAAAATAACATTCAGTTGTTTTTGCTTTTCTTATCAAAAACCTCATTATCTTTTTGTATGGCATTCATTGTTCATATGCACATATAAAGGCATGAGGCATTTTAGCAGTTTAATATCTGTCATGCATTTGCTTGGAGACTCAAACATGAATTTGGACATTCTGTCATTTGGAACAAAATTTAGAAAAAT